TGCTTTTTATCACTTAATTAAATTGTGTCATCTGTTATAGGGACTACTGAACAGACATTTAGAAGTTGATTTTAAAATGCAAAGTATTTAAAATTAAAATAAAGCTATGTAAACACTTACATTTTTACAACACTATAAGTGTGTCCCATCAGGTAATGAAAAGTTCGACACACACTTGTGGACTTCATCTTCACTTGAACACTTGGGCCAAATACAGGAAATACGTCATATAAGTTGTCAAGTGGTCAAGTGCAAAGACCGCAAGTGTGGGTATTTGGACAAGGCAATAGTTCCCCTTGCCCTCTTGTCTTTGCCAGTTAGTGGTCATTCTCACCCCTTCTGTCACTGTCTTGGCTGCGTTCCAGTTCACTTTTAAACACTCACTCGCGAACTTCCCTAAGCACTTACCCACTTACGCCATTTTGAAGTGCGTTCCACTTCATCAAGTGGACGAGGGAAGTTGACCTGTTCCCGTGAGTTCCTGCCACTGGTTATCACTGCCTGGTACTTGGTCCGCTTCAGAGTCTGCGGTCAACAAGTATCTGAGCTCAGCTCTATGGTGCCTTGCTCAGTCTTCTCCATCTGCCTGGTCTTGCCACTTCCTCTGCTGCTATTCTGCCAGTTGATGTCCAAGGCTGTCCCAGTGGTGTTCCCTAGCTTGCTCTTTCTCTGTTAACTGTGTGTTCCTGCCGTTGAATCACCGGCACACTTCACTACCCTTTTGTATCTCTCTGTTTTGTAATAAACCCTTGTCACTCACTCTGCGATTGGGTCCTCCTTCCAGATCCCTGACAGCCATGTAGTCTCAGTCAATAATTCTAACCATGAAAACAACAGTATTGTCACCTTCTCTTTTAGCCCTATTTGGTTTTAAATTGTCATTTGTTTTGTTCACAACCCCAGTCCATCTCATATGATTGCATAATTCATCAAGACTTGCTTCAACTTCATTTCATCATTTAACAGACAGCTAAGCTTTGACAGGTTGATGATATAAGGTTTTCTACAATTTCAACGTAAGGTTTGCATCACAGGTGAGACTTAAACCCCACAATTCCCAGCTCCAGAGGCTGATGCCTTATCCATTAGGCCTTCTTGCAAATTTGATATTTAGTCTCTGTGTTAGTAAACACATGCCTTGATAACATGGCAGTCTTTTGATTTTTCTCTTCTAGCCTTACTTGGTTTTAAATTACCAGTCGTTATGTTTACAGCCTCAGTCCTTCTCACATGATCTCAGCAAATTCATCAAGTAGGACTGCAGTATCAACTTCTATTTTCTGTTGCCACACAAGTTTTATTGTTTACGACCCAGGTGGGACTCTGCAGGACCTTGGGCCAGAAATGAGACTGGCCATGAACGAAGATCTGGAGGAGGAAGAGGAGGGTCTGGAGGAGGAGCAAGAGGAGGATGATGCTCGTTATAAGGTGCCTATCACTTGGACCGTCAATATTATTTTGGAGCACAATTTAATTACTCTATTTTTCAATCAATTAACTGAATCACACTGAATTCATCTTATACATTTGCTGAATAGAAAATAGTCTATGAGACAGAAGGATTAGATGATTATTCAGAGTAATGAGGCACTTGGTCTATTGAGACGAATGGTAATTTGAGTACCAGGCAGGAGCAGATATCAGGTAATGAATGGAAGTTAAGGCTGAGGGTTTTGTGGTGTAGGTGTAGATGTTGTGGTTTGGTTGGTGAAATGCTCATGAAATGAGCATAAACTATTACATTCCCTTCCCTAATCATTCATCATATATCTAGGTGCATAATTTGTTTACACGTCGTCAGTCATAGATTGCATGATTGCTAATAGTTGCTTTCCTTACTTAAAGTGCACCACCTGTAATGTAAGTAGAGTAATTATTAGTAGTCATTTTTGCAGCACACATTTAAAGTGTTGTGAGTACTTGCATTGTTAGCAACGTGACCAAAAGACTCACAACCCAGGTGGGACTTGAACCCACATTACCGGAGGCCAATGCCTTATCCATTAGGCCACTGCGCTTCGGCTTGCTTTTGTTTTTGTATAGGTTCAGCCACAAGCAAATTCTTACATAGTCTTCAGTGTCACATGATCCATCAGAAATCATTCTAATATGCTTATTTTGTGCCCAAGAAACATTTCTTATTATTGCAAACAGAATGCAAATACAATGTTTAAAAGAACAGCATTTATTTGAAATATACATTTTTGTAACATTATAAATGTCTTTGCTGTCACTTCTGACTAATTGAATGTTATGTTTTCAAAATATAATTGTAAATATAATTTATAAATATATATAATTTTAAAAAATGGCTATGATTTGGAGTGTTTTGTTGTTGCATTACATATATTTTAATACAATATTCTGTTTTTTTCTCTCACTCTGTCATATTGCTGGCCTCTTAGAACGAAAATGGCTATGCAGGCCACGCTGAGCCCTCAAGCAAAAGCCGACGCTCCACTTTGGCCACTACTCCCAGCGGTGCTCCTGTTCCTGTCTCAGGAGAAGGCATCTTGAACGGGGGACTGGGACGTAGGAGCTCCTTAGCAAAAACACAGAACGGGAACGGTGCTTTGGAACACGAGAATTTCAGAAGAAGAGACAGCATGCGTTCCTCCTTTCATTACCAACACAAGAATGGTGTGATTGACCAGCTGCTTAGGAGGTAAATCTAGTTGTTTCCACTGCATTTATTTATATTATACTTCATATTAATTATGTAATTTATTGGTTACATACTGTTTTTGTTTGTTTGATAGATCATCATACTACAAATACCCAAGGTAAGCATTCAGCATTGTCTGCAGCACCACCCTTACCCTTCTCTGTTCCTGTCTGCTGTTCTCTCAGTCTCCTGCTGACTGCAGGTTTCCTCTTTTCTCCCTCAGGAGGGACTCCAGGGACAGATTCTCCTCTCCGCTATCTCGGCGAGAGGAAGGCAGTGAGTACACTGGAGAGCAGCGCTTCTATGGAAAAGATGAGGACAGCGAGAGCGTCATCTCTAAAGAAAGGTACTCATAAAGTTTTGCCTGTGCCTGAATGAATTAATTCATGTTTGGAAGCTGATTAACTTTATGGATTATAATACATCAAATCTTTTTCATCCTCAGGCATGGTTATCCAGAGGACAGCACAATGTTCCCGGGACATAGAGACATGTATGATGGACACTCTATGAGACACCCTGTCTACGGTAATCATTATGGAAACAGTTATGGTGAAGGCAGGAGGACAGCACGGAGACGCCTGCTGCCTGCAACGCCTACTGGTAAAATCATCAATTGTGATATATTTATTTAGTAATTATTATTTAGAATATTGTGTGTATGTAATAAAGGGTTGTACTTAACCTGTATAAGTTCATCTGTACATTTCACTGCTTTGCATTATTTTTTGTCTGTTTCTCAGGGAGAAAGGCTTCATTTAACATACAGTGTTTAAGAAGGCAAGGTAGCAGCGATGATCTGCCCATCCCAGGAACATACCATCAGAACTCCCCACCCTGCAGAGCGCGTTCACAGGTAATGATAACAATATATCATTTTTTGTCCATGACACACTATCAGATGTGTTGGTTACACTATTTTAAGGTGTGCTTGTTATAGTGTAATTATACATTTAAGTACTGAGTAATATTAATGAACTGCATGTACTTACTATATGGTTAGGGTTAGGATTAGGGATACTTGCATGTAATTATGTGTAATTAATTGTTATTATGATAATAAGTACACGTAATATGTGTAACAAGGACACCTTAAAATATAGTGTTACCAATGTGTTCTTTTTGTTTTTACATCTTCTCCAATGTTACAGTTACATAATTTTCGTAATGCACATACTATAGTATTTAGGTACACACAGATTGTATTTATTATATTGTATACAGTATATGTTTTATTCACTGAATGATGTGGCATGGATTATAAATTAAAACATTTATTAAAAAATGGGTTGCACTTTATTTTACATAAAGATCATATTAAAACTTTTTTCTGCATTTCGAATGCATTTGATTTTATACTTTTACCCTTGTCCCAGACCCAGACTTTCAATTGAAATATTAAATAAGAATTATTTGAACAACTATGAAAACAAACAAATTGCTAAATAAATGTATATATCTTATTTTTATATATTACATATTATGTCTCGCATATCAGTCTCAAGTATGAGCTTCGCTAGCAGTGCTCAGTAAATACATTTTTGAAAAAGTTTATTAGGGGCTAAATTGTTGTGATAATATGTGACCATATGTGAAATATGTTTGTGTGAAAATATTTGATTTTTATGTATTTAGGATGCATAAAATGTTAATTGTGAAATTAGTCTTAGCAGAGCAAGCTTAAACAAGCTTGAAAAGGATTTTATTTTCCAAAAGGCCTCAACTTGCAACTTGCCTGTAGTTGAAGAAACACCTTATCTTCACACAGTTCACAGTTCCTGATTGTCTACTGCTCAAGTGACTCCCTTCACAACATTATGAAAGTGAGTTTGAACAGAACCTATCTGACTCAGTCTGTTTCTTTCTCTCCCTCTTAGAGATGCGGCAGCTACGATTCTCGTCACAGCATCGCTAGATCGTCCACGGGTTCAACAGTATCCTGGGCAAACACCGGCCCTCGACGGGGTCATCTCCTTTACTCTCCCCTTATCCTGGTAGAGGAGGAGGGAGCAGGAGGGGCTGGAAGTGTAGGCATCTGGGACAAAAAGGCCGGTGCCATCGGAGTGCCTGCGTCGGTTCGGCATCCCAGTTCGGGATGGTACTCGGGACCCTCTACGGGTGGAGGGGGGCAGCCATATCGAGCCTACACCACCCTCGGAGTCCCCACCCAACTCAGTCCTCACTACAGCGAGAAGAGAGGCAGCGCTGACAGTCTGGTAGAAGCGGTAGGAGCAGAGAAACACTAGAACATGAGAGCAACATTGCAATAACATTATGGACACATTACAGCTTGACTACATCAATATTACAGTAACATTATACATGTTACAACTAAAACAACATTAAGGCAACATCAAGGGACCATTACAGAAACAGTAGCTTCACAACATCTAAGCAAACACAGGAGCTCTTCATAAAATTAGCAATGCTGCTGTGTGAGATGTAGGCTATAATAAAATATAATTTGATAACTTATTTAGATATATAAATATAAAATTTATATATTCTTTTAAATCTATGGACCTTATATTATAAAAATGTATCTAGTAAAATAATGGTATGTAATATATTTGTAATGGCAAAGCTGAATTTTCAATAGCCATTACTCCGGTCTTCAGTGTCACATGATCCTTCAGAAATCATTCTAATATGCTAAAACAATGCTCAAGAAACATTTCTTATTATTATCAATAGTGAAAACAGTTGGTGATACATTTTTAGGATTCTATGATTGATAGAATTAATATAAAAAAACAGCATTTTTTAGAAATAGAAATCTTTTGTAACATTATAAATGTCTTTACTGTCACTTTTGATCAGTTTAATTCATATTTGCTTAGTAAATATATAAATTTCTTTAAAGGGGTCCTTTTGTGGTTTTTGACTTTTTCAACTTTAGTTAGTCTGTAATGTTGCTGTTTGAGCATAAAAAAGATCTGCAAAGTTACAAAGCTCAAAGTCCACTTCAAAAGGAGATATTTGATTTAACAGAAATCACTTTTCAAAAACTAAATCAAGACTTTGTAAAAGAGCATAATAGGACCCCTTTAAAAAAAAATCTTACAGACCACGGTAAGAGTGAATGGTAATATATACTGTATGTCATCTGAGTTTGACATGTATAGTGCCATTAGTCACTCCAGATCTTTCTCTTTTTGCCTTCCTCAGATCTTGATCTCTGAGGGTTTGGGATTGTATGCCAAGGACCCAAAATTTGTAGCCTTTGCCAAGCGTGAGATTGCAGATGCCTGTCACATGACCATAGATGAGATGGAAAGTGCTGCAAGTGATCTCCTGAGTCGTGGGGGCTCAGGGGAGAGTCAAGGCTTCCTGAACCACACAGACATGGGGCCCATATACAGTGACGAGGAGCCCATCAGGAGCCACGAGGAAGAGGAACTGGCTGATGAGATGACTTGTGTTACATCTTTTTGAATAACAGAAAAAGAGCTGATCAGGATGCCAGTGGGTGGAGCAACAGAATCCTGACTGACCAATCACATTGTTCATGCTGCTCTGAGTCACAGAAAGACTCTGCTGAGAATGGTGGTTTAGTTCTGAAATATTGTGACCGGTTCTTACTCAGTCTGTGAAAGAAACCAGCTCCGGTTTACCCTGTCAACATGGCAGTTTTAAATTCTTTTAAATTCAGATCTCTGAAAGGACTCGTTTTATAAATAGCTTACCTTGTTGAACATTTTATATTTGTTAATGTGTTTTTACTCCATCATTCTTATGTTTGTCTGTTTATTTTTAAGCGTCATTTACAGAGGGATTCTCCTACCTAAAATATATACAGTATTTTAAATTATTCAAATAAATAATTTAAGAACTTTAATAAATAATTGAAATATTAACATTTTTAATCATTTTACAGGTTTGTCTCGCATTTTGTGTATATGTGTGTATTTCCCCCCCCCCAGTTTTCCATGATAGGCTCCAGTATTGGTTAATCGTGTTTGAATATGGGTTGTCTTTACTCCAATTCCAGCTTAAAGTAAAATTTTAGAATAAAACATGATATTGGAACAAAAAGCACACTAAGGAGAAACAAATTACTTGTGTTGGGTTGCACAGAGCCTGGCTGGAATTTCAAGGATACTTTTTTAGGACAATAAAATAAAAAACAAGTCTTTTTTTTTTTTTTTTGAAAAGTTGTTTAATTTTGTATTTTGTTATTATTTAATTGTTTGTTTTCATTTTTTTATTCCAGTTTTATACATGTGGTTGATTTTTAAATGTTGTTGATATGCCTAGTCATATTAGCCGCTTTAGTCTCGTCAGATTCCTTTTACTGATCATATCCATAGAACAGCCACAGAAACAGTGATCACTGTGCCCTATTCATGGGTCTCATACAGTAAAAATCAAAATTACTGAACATTTTCTAAAAGTAAATGACGACAGATTGCAGATGTGAACTTGTCTGTCATACCACATCTCTATGTAATCCCCAGCATTTGCTCCCTTCCCCAACAATTTTACTTCATTAGTGTAAATATACAGAACAATATTAATATAACCACTTCACATGGAATATTATAATATCTAAAGATTTATATGTGAGATTGAATGAGAGTTTATTAAATTCTGAATTACATTTGTAAACAAATATAAAGCTGAAATGTTTCCACTCATTGCAATCTGTCATTTTTATAATATCATGGAGAATCATGGCCATTTTTAAATGTGAAAACCTAGCCAACTTAGCCATTTTGTGGGAAAGCTTTTTGCAAAGCCATTTTGTAATACAAAATGCAGCAAATCATGTCAAGGCCCAGTGGCCTAATAAGGCATCAACTTCTGGAGCTGGGGATTCTGGGTTCAGGTTCCACTTGGGTTGCTTTATATGTGTTTATTAGATATGTGCCCAAATTGTTTGGCCAGAGGAAAGATATATGCTTAATATTTAGTGTTCTCTATCAAGGGAATTTAGAAAAGGTTTAAGACAGCCATATGTCTCTCTGACCTCAAACTATGGAAGGTGTATATGTAAAGACTATTTACAGTATGATTAGAATTCATAATCTACAGTTTACACACCACCAGGGGTGCCTTACGATAACCAGAGGCCCCTCAGCTACAGCATTACAGTAGGCCCCCTACTCCAGAAAACTACTTTTTTTTAGCTTCCTGGAAATTATTTATGTGAAATTTAGAATTTTTTTTATATGCCAGTTAACATTCACAACACTGTTCTGCATAAAATGTGAATATAAGTAAATATGCAAATGCAATCTTTGCCAGAAGTGTGTGTTTATTTATAGCTGTTGTCACTGCTGCAAACTCCCATACAAATTATTATTTGAAAAATATAATTTCCCTTCCCTTTCCAGTGTAGGCCCCTGGGCTTCAGCCCCTTGAAGCCCGTGCATTATGTGCCCCTGCACACCACTGGCTTATGGGGGGGCTTATGGCTTATTTATTTATTTAAATACAAGCTGTGCTGATGCATTGAATTGTGCACTGATTTGAGACCAGACTACTTTGCAGGCTGCTGGCTTCAATTATGGTGGTGCATTGTGGGGGAGGACACTTTCTTTAGCCCTACTGGCCTTCAAGCGCAACTGTCCCCTTCTTCCAGACATCTGGATCTATGAAGAATGTTATGCATCAGTACTTCTTTATCAAAATGAAGCATTTCTCAGCGTCATTTACAATAGTGAGGCTAGGGATATTTAAGCACATGAGTTTTGCCATTGAGACACTTTCATAACATACATAGAGAACCTCTAATTAGTGTTTTTATTAGCAGTGAGAAGAACAGCTGCAGGCCTTTGGGCTTCAAAAAGGAGGAAGTAGGGAGAGAGGAAACAAATACTTTATCATGATTCTGCCTTTTGTGCTTATATTTCTAAGAGAGAATATTTATCACACCAAAAGCTCTAGATATTATACAATTATACATAATATGACATGTTGTTATATTACAAAATTGTATATATCAGAATTAAATGTTATTTAATTAATAATATTATTAAAAATAGCTCAAATATAAAATTAAACATGTAAAATACATTATGGATATTTAAAAAAAATCTATTTAATTCTCACAATAGCAAATATTCTGCAAGTGCTCTTTTTTCTTTTCAAGATTTTTTAGCTGAGATTTCAGAAATATTTTCCTGTTTTAGCATTTCATTATTAAACAGGGGTGTTTTTTTTTTTTCGTCTCTAAAAATAGTGTACGAGTCATCATTGTCAGTCCAACTGGTTACTTCCCACAAGGAGAACATTCTATTCACACCTTCCTTGCTTACTGTGAAAGATAATAAGAAATATAGTATGGGTTCATTATGAAATTTTAACAAGATTGAAGTAGAAAATATGAAGTTCGATACAGGCCTCCAGTGAAATCCTGAGTTAGCAACTGTCTTTCCAGAATATCCACACAGTCCTACATCATTCTCATGTAGATCTAGTTATTCATAACTGTGATGTTTTTGTTGAAGACGCTCATGAATAGTTATTATTTCCCAAATGGCATCTTAACGTTCCACCGAACCACTGCAAAATGAAACTATCTAATTCAATCTCAGCACTTAGTGGCCGCCGTATCTGGTGTTCAGTGATCAATCACATTCATAATTTACGGCTTCTGCAAGCGCGAGCAGCCTGCCATCGAAACAACAACTCGTTAGAGGGGGAAATATCATATTTGAGAGCATCACTGAAGATACAGCTAGAAGAAGCACGTATATTGTGACAGGTTAATGATCTCATTGCTCTACTGCGATCAGCGTCTGTCGGTTCATCCCGCTCTTTGCGCACCAAAAACGCCTTCTCGTTCTCTAAGCGCGTGAGTGACGCAACTGAAGCTGCTGTTCTGTTGATTTTCCCTCCCCCTCCGTGGGCTGTTCCGCTTCCATCACTTGCCTCCCCCCGATTATAGCTGTTTCTCCTGTCTACGAGCAGGCGACTAACATGGATATTGTAAACCAGGTAGGGCATTCGGGTTCAAAATGATTTTGTAACATATGTATATGTTTTTGTTTGTCTTTCAGTCAGGCATTCATTGTATACGATAAAGATGCGCTTAGAAAGGATGGTGGAAAATACTTATAGGGAGAGGTGCCCTGCTGATGCTGTCCGTCTGTTCACTGATACAGTATTTCAAGGGGCTTTCTTTCGTGACATCCTACATTTTCGTTTTAAACACATGCATGCCGTTATGGTTGCTGTATAGTATTTTATACAGATCTGATGAAGCGCTCGATTTGTTAGAGGGTTGTGATACATGCAGTTATTATACATGTACTAAATGCACGTTTATTGGTATGATATCAAATTATATTTTGTAATTTTACATTTACGTTTAGTGCAAAAGCGTAACATCAAATCAAAGCGAATGCACGAGGCCCTTTATCACATGAAGATAACGCTCGTAGATACGCTTTTAAAATGGCAGCTGACTTCCATCCCAATACTGTGACTGTGTGACTTTCAGCTATAAGCCCAGGCCCTTCTGTCTCATTATTATTATTATTATTATTTATTATAATTTATTAATTAATATTAGGCAATATAGGCAGGGATCGAGAAATCGGTGTCTACTGAATATGACACACAATCATATATTAGTTATTGATGCGTATATTTACAGAACATTATCAGATGCACATTTTTGCAAGGGGATGTAAACTGCATTCGTGTGTAGGCCAATATTATATATTGCAATGAATAATTAAATCGCGTAAAGAGGAGATCTAAATCGTTGATCGATTGATTTATTTTTGTATTTGCATGGTTTAAAGGAGGACCATCCTCACGGGCAAACAATGGTGTCGTGTAAAACCGCACCTTCCTACGTCACTATGTCCGAATAAAATCAGTATCACAGACCAAATGTCTGATGAGCAAATATTTCCAAATATCAATAATGCCATCATGCATGAAGCAGAAAAACGGTCACATTTAAGCGCCACATTTAATATATTTGTCCTCAATTAAGGGCCTTGCATTTTTCCAGATTGCTAGAGCCATCGTTTTTTTAGATTTTGGCGTGCAAAATGGTTTCAGAAATCTCTGTCGCTTGCTGTTCGGAAGCTCTGGGGCTCAGAGATGGCGGTGACGCGCGCGCAGGCGATCTGGCCATGGCTCAAGGTCCTCGAGACTCACCTTCCCTTCCTTTGCTTTCAGCTTCAGAGATATAAAGAATTTATGACTTGAAATAATAATTTTCGTTTCCTCCTGTTACTGCTTTGATAGGTTTTTGTTTTGTTTTTTCGACGATGTCTTTTCAGTAGCAGATGCTATGTGTAGGTTTCACAATCGCTTCAAAATAAATTGGCTCTTATATGAGCAAAGGGGCCTGTTTGTGTTATGAGTCATCGTGGTGAAGACGCATCATCCATAACACTTTCATCTATCTATCTATCTATCTATCTACACTTCATTTCCAGCGATATCGTTGACTTGATTACAAATGATTGCAAAGATACTATTTAAACTGAACTGAGCTGGATGATGACATCACTGAATTCAATGATGAACTGTCTTTAACTGAAAAATTAGTGTTTACTATTGTCATTTTGCATTATTGACACACTATTTTCCTAATTAATGCTGTTCAGTTGCTTTGACACAATCTGTATTGTTAAAAGCGCTATATAAATAAAGGTGACTTGACTTGACTTATCTATCTATCTATCTGTCTGTCTGTCTGTCTGTCTATCTGTTTGTCTAACGTTTTTCAAATGTTTTTTTGACAGTTGGTTGCCAATGGGCAGTTCAGGGTGCTGAAAGTCCCTTTGGGCTTCATCAAAGCCTTAGAATGGGT